ACTTTAATGGATAATTGTCATGTAAAATAAATTCAAACGAATACTAAATTTTGATAAAAAAATGATTTTTTAGGAAACAAATTTTTTTTCCCTTTTTTTTTTTACTTTTTGGCAATGGAAACAAATTTCATAACCAATTGTAGAAAAGAATTCATTTTTAATGGACAATTTTCATGTAAAATAAAGTCAAACGTGAACAAAAAAATCCAAACTCTAAAAAATTTTCCAGGTGGAAAATTATACCAATCAAACACACTTAATTACAATTTCCAGTAAAACATTTTTTAGGAAAATTTTTTCCCTATAAAATATTTTCTTTCCACTCTTACAATCAAACGGACCTTATATAAAATATCATCAAACACGTTCTTACTTTTATGTCAAGTTTTAAAATTAATGGTCAGCGAGAAAGTTCGTATGGGCATGTACTATTAGGATAAATTAACCCATAGAATTTGGAGTAATTTGTAGCCTTAGGTGGCTATTTTTTTTGGAAAAAAATCGTTTCGAATAATGATTTTTTGGAGAATATATGGTTAAAAAGTTTTGAGTCCCCTCAGAGCCATGGGGTGAGTACTCGACCGTAAACTTCAGGGTCCCGTGGAATTAGTCGAAGTGCGCGCAAGTCAAAAAAAATAAAAAAAGTTTTGAGTTTACGTATATAAAATTTTATTGTATAAACATGTGATTGAAAATGGATATACAGAAAAAAGAGTTTTAAAAGAATGTGAAACAAACAAGGACTTATATGTGCTTCAATCGAGACTCCACCTAATTGTTGTTAGCAGGTCTCTAGACTTAGCTGACAACCATTAAAAAAAGTATTTTGAGGAAAATGAGTTTTAGAATAGAATTTCTTGAAGGATGTATGATTAAGCCACTGTAAGGACAGCATTATCCCTCCATTTGTAGAAAAATTTGAGCCGTTGAAGAGCACCACTCGGCCCCTTTTGTTGACTTGCATCTCACATTTTCTGAGAAATTGGAGCTCCAACGGTATAGTTTATTATTTTCCTTAAGCCATGTTCTAAAAAAGTGAAAACGCGCTGCCTAGCGCGTCGCGCGTCCAAACCGTGTCGAATTCGGGAAATGCGGTGAAAATGCGTTTTCCATCTAAAAGGCGCGCCTTATCCCGTCTAATTCCTTTTTTTTTTTTAATTTATTTTTTTTAATGATATATTAAAAAATCTATTTTTTTATATAAAAATATATTTAATGCCTTAAAAATACGAAACGCATTACGGCGCTTATTCTTCGCATTGACACGCCTAAACTTGTGATTTTTTATTCTCGGTCTCAACGCTTCGCAACGCATTACGCATTTTAGAACACTACTAAAAAGTAAGAAAAAATTTGAATTTGAATATAGCTACATTAAAATTCTCATTTTCAATTTTTCTACTCATTTTCAACCATATATTTTTCAATAAAATAATATTTTCAATCGCATCAATAATTTTTCCTTCTTTTTCAACCACACATTCTCCATCGATCTACTATTTCAAAATACATTGTTTCAAAATAATGTGGTTCAAACACAGCCTCAATTGTAAAATATTTTACAGTAAGAATGTATGATTTTGCTTTGATGATTGTCAAATATAGACCTCAATAAGAATGGATCGATTCTGCCCCGATTCTAACTAAACCGGGTCTGTCTTGCAATATCTAAATGGGGCTCCAACTCTCGACTCCGGACCTGCTCCTCGTAGATTTTGTGGTTGGGACTGGCGGAGAGAAGCCGAAAACCAGATAAATCTACAGCACGCACATTCACGCGCCTTCCGTAATGGCGTTGCTGCTCTCAATATCTTCGACTCCTAAAACGACGTCTTTTCTGTGTCCCTCTCCTTCTTCAACCTCACCCGCAACTGCGATACCATCGACGGCGTCTTCTTCGAAGGCTCTCTTGCCTCCTTTTAAAAGAACTCGCGATTGGAATTTAAAACGTGGACACCGGAGGTCATGGGCTGTGTGCATGGCGCCTGATGAAGAGAAGATGACTCGCCGTTCCCCTCTAGATTTCCCAATCGTAAGTCCCGCCGCCGCATTTGTCCTTTCTGAACTTCAATGACTATTCTGTCTTTTGTTTAATTTTTCCTTTTAGACACTACTTTAATTGATTGCTGTTTTAAATTTATCAGTGATACTTCTCACTTTTGTGGTAGATCAAATGGTGAAGAGAGAACAGAAAAATAGAAATCAAAAACTGAAGTAGAATTGAAAGAAATTTCGAAACAAAATCAAATCCACTAAAAGGAGCGAAAAGGTTTTGGCTTGAAATCTCAGCTTTCTCCGTTGAATGTACTTCTTTGCCGATAGGATATTAAGTACATGCATATCATATAGAGACCCGCATACTGTTAATTGTTTTATATAATTTTCTACATATCTAACTTGAGGGAATGATCAATTGGTCAGGCCTTGTGTTTGCTCCTCAATAGTCACCTGTTCGAGTCCCTCAGGGCACTAAGGTGAGTATTCGACCGTAAATTTCAGGCCCGTGGAATTAGTCGTGCTCAAGCTGGCCGGACATCCACAGTTATAAAAAAAATAATTTTCTAGATATCTGTGGAATAGTCTTTCTCATGAAACACGATTCATCAATTCTTCTGAAATTGCATTTGCTAGTTGAGTAGAGATTACATTATATTTTACTTTCGAAGGAGATTGTTTTGATTTATTTTATATGTTTTGTAGAAAAAAAAAAACTTCTGAAATAAGTTTTGATATTAGCACTTCAATTCAAACAATTTGGATTTCATAGAGCATTAGGTATTATAAATCTATGATTCCACAACCTGTTCAAAGAAGAATATTGTCTTAAGTTATAGCAGAAATTATGGTGGACAAGCAGCACTTAAGATTATTCCCTTCTCTTGCCACAGTTTTAGGGTAGCAATGCAAATGCACTGCTTCTTTTATATATGTGTTCGAGTAATAATCTTTACTACTCCCCAAGGATCTCATCATGTCGTTGGCCATTAGCACCCTGCTGTGAAGTTTTGTATATCATATAATATGAGACATGGTAAAAAGCAACAACCACAATGATAAATGGGAAGATTAACTGTTTGGAATATGAAGTGGTTATAAGATTTTAATGGCCAGTAGCTTATTGGAATTCTCCAGGTTGGTCCTGTAACATATAGGAATTAAGTTTCCACGTCTTTTGCGGTGATTCAGAAGAAATTCCTCCATTAACTTGGTGAAAATGGTGCAAAGGTGTAATTAGCTTAATTGTTAAGTTGCATCATGTCATATTTTTCCTTTCTCTGCTGTTTCCCTCCCAGTATCTTTTGATCGATCTACTTTTTGTCTATTTTAATTCCTACTTGAATACTGTTCTTTCACTGTTAGTTTTCTGAAGGCTTTCTGTAAGACTTATGGGAAAGCACTCAATTCTCTTGACCTGCAATTCAGACATCAAATGATCTCGTTTATTCCTTTAAAAAAAAAATGTTTTTATGTTTCCAAGGATGTCAGAATCAATGTGGATTTAAGATACGGGCTGTGTTTTTTTGATAAATAATGTACTGAATAGAGCGATTATCTGCAGTGCTATAAACTTAAAATCAATACTCATTTTATGGGGAAAACCCATCAGATTGGGAAATAGCTTTTTGATTTCTTTACCAGCATGGTAAGGTGGATATGGGACCCTTGAATTGCCTCATTTTCATGCTAATGCCTCCAATTCTCAAGATGATAATTTAACAGCTTTCACAATAATTTTTTTGCAAAGATATATATGAAACAATCATCATGCTATATGTACATTCTCCTCAACATTAACTTTTACACTCTTCCATGTGGCAACATCTACACTCCTGATTTTGAACACGTCCATCGCATCATTGCACAGATATTTTCCACTTAGGGGTGGATGTCAACCACCATGTCAACTATAATGTACATATAACTTTAATTCTATATGAAATCACTTAGTAGAATCCATTTACATGGCTGCTAGAATCTTGAGTGCGGTATTAAGATCATCCATGAGTTTGTGGTAACAAGGTTTACATCATTATGTTTTCATTGAGTAACCGATGCGTGATGTTAATGGTTCCCTTTAACCTTTTGTACATATGTTTTACTCTCTTAAGTTTTGGCGCGGCTGTGTGAAAAAAATCTAGTTAGCAAATATTTGGACCCCTACAAATAAAGGGTTAGTTCGGGCTTCGGTTCCATGGCAATAGGTGACTCAAGGTAAGCGTTGTTCCTCGTTGATTGCAAACATGCATATTCATCAATCTGCCCTCCTTTTGAGTTGATACTCTCACGTTACAGATAATTGAGTACCACCTGTGCTGTGAATCCCTTGGTATTGTGATTTTTATAGTGCTGTTTTGCTCATTTACAAAATTTCTGTTCAACAAAATTGTAACAGGAGTGGGATAGGCCAAAGCCTGGACGCAGGCCTGACATCTTCCCCCAGTTCAGCCCAATGAAAACTCCATTACCACCGCCAATGCCGGCTGACCCTCCAGAAGAAGACGAGGAGGAAGAAGAAGAAAAGAAAGAGGAAGAGGAGGAAGATCCTGAAAAGCAAGACCCTGAGAAACCCGAATAATAGCCCACAAGGATATCTTCTTTCGACATCCTACCATGAGTAGTACCTGCAGCTTATCTATGTGGGGACATACCACCATGGTATTAAGTTCAAAGGGAGATTATGAGATAATAGAAGAATGTCTTTTTGCAGGGTGTTTATATTCGTTTTTGTAGTCGAAATTACCTTTGTTTTTCAACATTGTCTGTTAAAGTTACACCTAAGAATTAGTTAATATTTTTGGACATTTATGGTTTTTATTATTTTTTGACAGCCTCTCTAACCTCATATTATATTCCTTTCCTTTGTTGTTTATGGACTTGATTTGTGAGGTCTGGTAACTCATGATATCAGACACCCGGATGACGAAATTCCAGATACGTATTTGCATCTAGTTACACGGAAGTAGAGCATTGACAACATATTGGGAAATACCATACAAATAAATGTTACATTTACTAGTTATATATTGTTGTTGAACATTTTGTAAGTATGCATAAAATTAATCCAGCAGTGTTTTCCATGCCTGCGAACCTGTCCTCTCTTTTTAATTTCCTAGAAGAAAAGAGAGATGAAAACGTCCAAGTTTTCAAAATTGCTAACTTAGGCCCCTCTATCCTTTTTAACAACAAAGCATAAGGCATACGCTAATTCAAATGCTCAGAACAAATTGAAACTGAAGCATCAAAACAAAGAAAATCAACAAAAAGGCTTCCACAAAGGATCAAAGGCTCTCAGATATACGAAACAACAAATGTTTATTGATCCAAACAAATAGTTCTACACAAAGAAACTTCATAGAAAGTTGCTCAATAGTTTAGCACAAGCAAGAACATCATGCTAAAATGGTTTAAACCAAAAAATAGTATATCGCGATACAATTGACAACAAAGGAGTTTTTTGTTTCTTGTAGTTCTTCATAAGTTTCATTTCTTTCCACTTTTCTTCAGCCCGGCGCCTCCAAGCGCTCCCTTTTGAGCCTTTGCTTTAAGCTCCTTCAGAGCCTATCAAACCAACAAACAATCACAATATACATAACTAACGTAAGTCTAGGGATAAAATCAAAATAAATATAACTAAGATGCAAAATAAGATCAGTGCCAGAAAAAACTTCCACCTTCTCCTCTTCCTTCTTCTTCTGAAGAAAAGCCTTGTCATCCTACAAAACAGCCGACATGTTTCAAAAAATAAGAGAGAAGAAATATAGAAGAAACTTTAAGCACCAGGATGCCACCCCAATACACCAGAATTTTCCGGCAACAGGGTATTATCATGAATGTTCATAGACTTGCTTCATCAAGATTGAGTGAATGTATGATTACAACATATACTATTGGTTTTTGCACTTTTTGTTTCTTGAAAGTTGTGATGGACAGAGTGGCATCATAGTTAACTTAGAAGCATCAAAGCTTGCAAAATCAAATGACAGTGATAACAATCTCCACCAATACGAGAATGGCAAAAATTAGGTTATGCAACTCAACAATAATGGCTAGATATTAGGCACAGGAGTTGTGTAAGTTGACAATCAATGTATGAAACCATACACATTTCTCCGGCAAGTATCTACCAATGATGTTATGTATCTAAGTTGTCAAAATTTTAGTTAAGTTAAATCTTCCAGTAGACCTAACACATTATCAATGAACCTAAAAAGAGTGTTGAGAGCAAAACCTTAACTCTAGAAAATATTAGCAATGTTTACCTTGATCTTTAAGATTCAAGGTTAAGTAATTTCATGTACGATTCTGATGTTAAGTAATTATTCAAACACCACATATTGGGCAGCCACAGCGCCACTGGATCAGAAATAAAAATTAATGATGTCAGCTTAACTAAGCTCAAGGCTAAAGGAAATATCCATGGGAAAGAAAACAAATCGTTATTAACAAAAAAAAAGAAAGAAAGAAAGAAAGAAAAAAGAAAACAGATAGTTGAAGAAACAATAAATCAAAATTCACAGAGCCCGAATCTTCTTATTTTGCACAAAGTAAATAATAATTATTTTCAAATTTAATTGATCAACAAAAATTATTGTATGCAAAGGAAAACATGTATCTAAATGGATGATTTATCACGGAAAATCAATAACATATAAAGCATGCCTTCGTATTTATGATTCACGATTCTAATACGTAGAAATTTCATAAAACTCATTATTAACAAAAAAGAAAGGAAATAAAAAATGATTAAGAAGCAATGAATCGAAATTCAACAAACCCAAATGTTGTTATTTTCCTCGATAGATGAGGATTATGTTTTCAAATTAACCAAATCGAATGTTCTTTGCAGTAAATCGATACCTCGTCGTACTCTTTCTTGTCAGCCTTTGGTTGCTTCAAAGGCTTCGCTTTCCCACCTGTTCATATTCCGAAAAGTAAAACACAAAATCAACAAACTTTTCATCTATTCACACAATATTGCAAAAAACAAAAAAAAACCAAAGCTAGCAAATGATTCAAAAGATTGCGGTACCTTGCTTGGAAGACATTGTTAAAATCTAGGGTTAGGGTTTCGCTGTAATCACGAAATCGCTTGAAAAATGAAAAGGTTCCCTAACCCAATCGCCAGGCGTTGAAATTGTCTGGCTGGGACTGGGACCTGAAGATATATAGGAAAACTAGGGGCAGAAAATTGCCCTGATTGAGCCGCTTTAACATTTTCATTTTCATTCTTCTACTCATTTTCAACCACACATTCTTCAATAAAATAATATTTTTCATCGCATCAATAATTTTTCCTTCTTTTTCAACCACACATTATCCATCAATCTACTATTCCAAAATAATGTGCATCAAATACACCCAAAATGTCATTTACAGATTTATCCACCCACGTAAATTTTCATTCTTATTCTTTTACTAATTTTTAACCATAGATTTTTCAATAAAATAATATTTTCCATCATATCAATAACTTTTTTTTTTTTAATCATATATTCCTTATCACATAAAAAAATGCATTCTTGAAAAAAAAAATGTGCACCGAACAACGGCTTACCCACGAATGAAATCGCCATTTATTTACTTTCGTCCTTGATGTTGTGATGCTTCCTTTGGGCTCGTATTTTTAAAATTTTCACTTTTTTTAGAAAATTAGTAAGACACACATGCAATGCATGTGTCATAGTTTAATTGGTCATATGATAGCTTAAATATAAAAAAAAAAAAAAAAATTATTTGTCTTAACATTAGATACATTAAACTTAAAACACTTGAAATGATGATAGGTGACAAAAATAATATTAAGAGATTTAAATCAAAACTTATTTTTTAGACTTTGCGTTTGAAAGTCTCTCTGTTCTTTTTAAAAAAAGACAGGGTATAGATAATTAGGTGTTAATGCACTGCTAAGGAGATAATGAAGTTCAACATAACCCTCATTTTCCTACTTATTGAGGTAAGACATTATGTCTTCTTCATCTCATGCTCATAGAATTTTCAATTACATGTATCAGTTGTATCAGTATTTAATTTCTTTGTCAAAACTTTATGCAAGACGTATGTAGTCAAAACTAATTAATTAATGAATCAAGGGTCTCTATCAGTATTAAAATCACAACACAACGAAAACTTCCATCATAGAGGCAAAAAGA